CACCCGGCAGTGTTAACGCTACCCTCGCAGCTGCACACGTTTTACACCAGCCACAAATCATTCACGGACTGGCTGCTTACGTTGAACCCTCCGCCGACGCAAATCACCAAATTGGGGATCCTGCAAGCACCTAGCGATGGACTCGACTGGCCGGCGGTCAACCGGTACCTCACCAGTCCATGCGCCGCAGGTATCGAGACCTTGGTGTTCGACACAACATCGTTCATCGGATCTATCCACGGCCCAGAGCTGCAGAATCTCCGTCGACTTAGGCACCTCGTCATCAATCAACTACATGTGTCCGCCCCAAACACCCTCCGAAATCTGCTCTCCGTCCTGGAGACCGCGCCCACGGTTCGAGGCACCCTGGAGACGATCACCCTCTCCCGTGCCTTCCGCAACTGCCCCGTCGCCACCTGCACGTTCCCAGCGCAAGAGTGGCGCGAGCTGGATGCGGCGGTAGCGGATTCCGTCGAAGCACACGAGTACCCTCGTCTGCGTCGGTTCGTCGTAAACACCGCGGACGAGGATAGCTGTGATCTTCGTGACGTTTTGGGACAGCTGGCGTTTGAGGTTGGAGAGCCGATTGCACTGGCGTTGCAGACGCACCTCGGGCGATGTGCGCATCATGGGCTGTTGAGGGTCGAGGGGATTCCGAATGTCCCATCGGTGAGCCCGAAGGTGGTGTGGACCACTGCTAAATATGATACGAGTCCGGCCGGTTTGGATTTGCATTCTCGTCGGAGGAACGGTCGTCGTCTGGCAAATATAAGGTAATTTATTTTTATTGGTGGTAGTGGAAAAGGCAAGGTCGAAGTTGGAACGCAAAATCACGATGAATTTATTTATACAGGTTGACCGTTGAAGGATATTTACTGGCATAGGATAGGTGGGATTCGGAATCGGGTTATCGAACTGGCAAGCTTCACTTGGCCTTGCGCATCGATATCGCAGTGACGAGTCCCTTGCCGACTGTTGTAAACTGTTCCTTCCGTCATTCGAAAGTTTGTCGGGCTATGGGAATACGAGTCAATCACCGGCCGCGGTGATGGCAGTTCGTTCACTCACCGTGCGATTTGTGAGAGTTGTTGATATGCTTGCTGAGATCCCGTGTGAAGATTCGGTAGTCGCGCATCCCCCGACGAGCACATTCCCAACATGCCTCATGTTTCTCTGTCTCCGCCGCAGTGAAGAATTCATGTTCGTCCGTTATGCTGCTGCCGTGGGGTACTTTGTAAAGACGATCTGCAAGTCGTGCGGCAACGGCTGCGAACCATTCTGCGGGCTCGACGAAAGAACCTTTCTCCACTTTGGGTCCACATCCACTGGAGCTCGGATGCCCACTTGAGGCCCACCACGCGTACCATTGAAAATCATCTGTCACCCAGCCGCCGTCGACGTCCCGGGTGCCTTTCGTCATATACCTATTGTCCTTCTCTTCAATGTTGGCCTTCAGCAGCTTCTTTGCGCTCTCCGCACAGTCTCGATGGAAGGTTAACAACTGGTGCGCGTCGGTCCACTTTAAAAGCTTCATCTCGGGAAACTCGTCTCCCACAAGATGCGCCTCCAATTTGAGTGTGGCGACCGCTGCCGCTCGGGCTGCCTCGGGAAGATTACACAGCCGCGCAATGGCGAACACGCGATGTGGGTGCGCGTCGACGAGCGTGGCGTCGCTCAGCATCTGGTCGAGTAGGCGCTGAACGGTGGCGAACTGGTATTTCCCTGCAGCCTCGTGCAACGGGACAAAATCGTCCAGATCCTTGTATTTGAGCGAATAGGCTCCTGGTGCATGAGCTGGATAGGCGAGGAGTAGAAGCTTGTGCAGCACCGATTTCGGCTCGGTGACTTTCACAACGGGCTTCCTGTCCCGCCGAAGCGTCCCACCTTCGTCGTCGTTATCGTCATTATCTGCCTCCGGGAAGGAAAACATGCCCTCGAAGCAGCCAGATACGAGTTTGAGCAGGTCCTTGTGTACGTGGAAATCCACTCCATCGCTGGATCTGAGGATGAAATCCGGTGCGATGTTCAGAATGTTGTCGAGGTTTGAGCCGGAGAAAGGCGAGGGGGCGTCTTTGAATGTCATGACGATGGGTGAGAGAGACGACAGGGACCCACGAAGCAATGACTTGTACCGCAGTAGCCCCGACTCCCAGGCGGTTTGTATTTACTCACTTCCAGCGGTCCAGCACATACCCCCTTTTTTCAGAGTCCGCGGATCTGGTCCCTGTCGACGGGTTGGATGGCCGAGTGGTCTAAGGCGCCAGATTCAGGACCAGCATCTTGCAGATGCAACTATTCTGGTCTTCACGGGCGTGGGTTCGAATCCCACTCCAATCAAATTCTTTTGCTCCCGCTGGCTCTGTCTCATTTTCTTTCTCCATCCACGAGTGGATAGGGCCGGAAAGCATCTTACATAACCAGTTTCGAAATAACCCTGCCTTGTCCAGGGCTGTCGAAGGGAAGGGGAGGGACATGTGCGAATCAATTCTCCTGGCTGCTCGATGTGTAGAAAAAAATCAAGTCGGTGGGGCCAGCTGCCTTACGAGGGTTAACGCAGGCCCCAGAAGCGCGACATTAGACAAGCTACGCAAATCAAGGCGCCGCGACGTCGGCTCGGGTTGTGTGGGAATTCGAATTCAGGATGCTCGGATCGGGCGGGGTGCGGAGGATGGGAGTCAGTCGAATGTGGTGAGGATCAGGACTCAATATTCAGGAGCCTGCGGAAATGCATCGACAACAAGGTATGCGAAAAAGGCAAACCCGGAGGAGCAAGAGTCAATGCTTCGGTGGGAATCGAACCCCCGGCGGCCACCGAGACGCAGACAAAGCAGCACCAATTTTGGAATAACCCTGCGTGGTCCTTTCGAAGGAGGTGTGGGGATTCAGAGCAGTGGAATGAATGCTTGCTGGGGTCGGTGAGCGCACAGTCAAATCCCCTGCGGTGTATGGTGTACAAAGATCCGGTTTCGTGGATACGGAGGGGGAATTGAAGTGGTAGGCGAAGAGAGCTTGCCGAGGCTCAAGAGAGGGAGAAAAAGGAAGACCACAAAGCATAGCCCAGTATGCTTTGGGAGGGATTCGAACCCCCGTTCATGCACAGACAGTTCTGGAGTAACCCTGCCTAGTTATGGAAGGAGGTGTAAGTACAAATCGAGAGCAGTGTAGTGCAGTGAATCATGCTGCTCGGATCGGTGAGCGCGCAGTCAAAGGCCCGCGTCGGTGTACGGTGTATGAATGGCCAACGACCGAAAACCCACACGCCAGCGCGAAGTTCGAATGGAGTCACAGTATCATGCATTCGCCCAAGAAAATTTAAAGGAGGTACCGAGGCCCCGAGGTCAAAGATGCCCAGATTTACGATGGGGAGGGAATTGGATCAGCGCTGGGTGAATGAGGCTGACGGAGAAAGAGAGCAAAAAAAGCCGACATCAAGGCCCTATACTTTGGGCGGGAATCGAATCGGACATCTCAGGCATGCCTGCTCGGCTCGGTGGGTAGTTCAAGGGTTTTGTGGAGGCGACACTGAAAGAGGGCCGGTGGTTTCCCGATCCCCAAAAAGCGATGGTCAAATGACAGCCGGTTGATGCTTTGGCAGGGAATCGAACCCCGGGCGATGCAATATGGCACACAAAGCACTTGCAGTGTACACTGTCAGTGTTGAAACGGCCGAGTGATTTCGAAGGAGGTGGGCCAAAGCCAAGCCTGATCGGATTTTGAAAAGTATCTTTTTACATCGTCACACCAATGGCGTGAATCCCTCCCTAGGTATGCTTGCCCGGATCGGTTGAGTGGCAATGAGGAGTCAAACGGACGCTAGCGCGAAATTGATTTGTATTTGGTTGTAAGAAGTTGTCCGAGGATAGAAGAGAAAGACAAAAAGATGTGTTCGTCGTACTTATGCTTCGGGAGGGAATCGAACCCGCGCCGGGACCCAGAGCAGCAGAGAGACTCGTCCATAATTGCTGGGATCGATGAGTAAGTCTGTAGTCGACGCCGAAGACCCAAGCGCTCGATTCGAATTGCGGTTAGGATTCCGATACATGTCCTCGCGAAGAGGAGGTACCGACGCCCTGGAGGGCGTCCAGAAACAAACAAAGAAAGCCCGAGAAAAAGAAGGGTAATCGGGAATGCTATGGGAGGGAATCGAACCCCCGGCAGACTGATCGGCGACCATGGCCGACAAAGCAGTTGCACAAGACAGTTTTGAAATAACCCGACGGTGTACTTTGAAGGAGGTGCGGAAATTGAGAACATTGCAGTGAAGCCCCCAAGCATAGACTGTTCTGTGGATGGCCAAAAATTGGAAACTCCGCGACGACCAAAGCCCGAATGCGTAACAAAGGAAGGTCAAATCGGTCTAGTGCGTATGGGGTTCATTGAATCGAACCCGGGCTGCCAGGACCCATCGTCGGACGTCGGTAACCCAGGACCAGACAAAGCACAGATGATTTTGGAATACTTAACCCTGCGCGGAGACGAGTGTGGCAGTGAATCCTCTAGGCATGATTGTCCGGAATCGATGAGGCTGTAAGTAATCCGTAGTCAAACTCAGCGACGCCGAGGACGCAAGCGCGACACTCGAATGCAGTTCGCATATGCATGATACATCCATCGCCGCGAGAAGGGGAGGCGAGGCTACAGCGGAGGAAAGAAAAACTTGATGGGCTACAAAGTATGCTTTGGAAGGGAATCGAACCCACAACGGGTGAACTCATTGTTCAGACGCAGACAAAGCACAGACAGTTTTTTGCTCGGATCGGTGAGCACGTAGAGTAGTCACAGCCCGCCCGTGTATGGTGCATGACAAGCCGCAGCCGGTTGTTTGGAAGGTCGAGATCGAAAACCCAGTGACGCCGAGGACCCAAGCGCGAGATTCGAATTGCGGTTAGGATTCCGATACATGTCCTCGCGAAGAGGCGGCACCGACGCCCTTAGATGGAAGAGGAGGGTGTGCAGAAACAAAGAAAGAAAGCCAGAGAAAAACAGATGGAAAGAGTGACTGCTTTGGGAGGGAATCGAACCCCCGGCGGGTCGAGACGAAATAGCTTCCCTCTTTGTCGATGGCAACAACCCAGGTTACCACTACCCCACCAAAGCGGCGTGAGAACACAATTTGACGGAATTACAGGTCAACTACAGGTAGTTGAGAGGTTGTCGAAGGGAGGGAGTGGGAAGAGGATGTAGCAGAGAGTGTTGAGAGTAAGTACACCACCGATCCGAAGACGCGTTGAGTTGACGTCGGGAGAGAACGTCAAACGATGATTCTGCGCCACATCAGATTAATACACTTCCGACGTCGAAATACCCGTCAAAACTGCTAACATTCGAGCGTCAATTGACACCGACGTCGGATCGATGTCGACTCCTTACCTCGAAATAATGCAGTTGCTGCAGTCAGGGAGAGCTCGAATATTGATCAATATATATAATTCTCAGAAGCACACACATTCGATATGCAGGGAAAAGAATAGATTGGAAAGCTACGGAAACAAACAGCGTGCATACGACAGACAGCCCAGCATCTACACTCTAATGCCCTGCTCACGAGAACGCGGCCGAAGGTTACCCGAGCTGAATGTTTGGGAATGCAATTTGTAGGCCGGTTGGGTGGTGAGTTGTGGCTTGAGGTTGAAGCACGAACATTGACGTTCGTTATCACGGCGTGACGGGGATTCCGTGAGGCTTGAGGAAACTAGCAGCCGAAATCTTGCACTGGAGTTACGTATAGGTTCCGGCATTGCAGATATCGGCTCGTTGTCAAGGGTACGTATACAGGCATGCGTCCTCACTGTGACTTGAGAGGACAAGGAGAGACCTTGGATCCAAGGGGGAGAGGGAGAGAGGGAAGGGAGGGAAGGGAAGGGAAGGGAATTGAAGGGAGGGAAGGGAAGGGGAACGAGGACTCGGAGCATGCTTCATGGAATCGTGTCGACACGAAGGCGGATGTGGGGCGGACGGAGGACGTAGTAAGGAGTGTGAGCTTCATCGGCTTGCGTGTGGATGCCTAAGGTGAAACCAGGGTGATTGTCTTGAGGTCCCGGATGTTTGCCTTGAGGTCGCCGATGAGTTGGCATGCACGAGTCCGAGTGACAAGAGCGACGGCGCCTTGCAGGGTGAGCACAGGATACTGCAAGGGTGTTGTGGGGTCGGCGGTGTGCTGGGCCAAGGCGAGGTCAGTTGTTGATGCTCGGTTGACGAGCAGGAGTGGGTGGTGGCAGGAGGAAAGAAGTGGGAGACGACAAGTGTTGACCAACCCACGTGATTGATCACGCGCATTCAACAAACCTTCCTCGCTTCCAAGCGCGGATGACAGCCCGAGTCTCTCGGCTCTTGCTCGCAGCTCGGCTCAAAGGCGCGCCGCGCCCCCTACAGTGCACAAAGTTCTGGCTTCAGCACAAATTACCGTGTACTTAGAAGTACAAGGCAAACACTCAAAATTCAAACTGTTTTTAATCATGTAAATCATTCAAGTCCGCAAGGGGGCACTTTTCGACCCTATATCCGAAATTCCGATCCCGATGCCCCCTTGCAAGTCCGCTGGAGAACTTCCGTTGAAAAATTGTTGATATAACATCGGGCAGTGTGCCCAGATAGACGTTGGCGAGGTACTCGATACGACGTCGTTTCCACCTTAAATCGACGCTGCGGGAGTTACATCGAATTGACGTCGAGGCTATTCCATTTTTACATCACCAAGAAACACTGATACGACATCTTGCTTTGACGTCGGTCTCAATTCGGCACGAGTTGGTGGTGTACTGGATGTTTGGGCCAAATAAGAAAAGTTCTGCATGACTTCCGCTAACGCGTTGGAGGGAATCGAACCCACCCATCGCCTGGTGTTTCGTGTGATGGCAACGACCCACACGGCGCTGAGGAATCTGTCGTCCAAGGGTGTATCGGCGGCAAGGGGATGTAAATGCAGGCACATTAGAGGGCATAGCGCGGGAGCTGATTGCAGGCGGGGCTAAATGCCGTGTCCGAGGGAATGAAGATGCTTGATTCATTGAGAGCGTCAGCCACGGAGCATTATTGGATTGTAATTGCGGTGTGTCCGGCGAGATAAAGCCGTTGCTGCGGCCTTGTGATGAGAGAAGCGCGGACGGACCGTTGCAAGAAGGTACGATGAGGATGGGCTGACCAGGTGAGGGATAATTCTGGGGAGAAACGTCGTGGAAAGCAAGCATGTGTTGCGATGATGAAAGTCCGTTCCCATGGGCATAATGAAGGCGGTAACCGTCGACACCGGATCAACACCGGCAAGCAACGGTACATATACGTGGATCTTCCCTCTACGCCCCACGCCCCGTCCTCGTCGCTTCCCTTCCTCGTCGACGCCGTCCGTCCGTCTCATCCCTCATCCCGAGCGAGACCAGACCATGTTCATCCTACCAGCCACCTCCGTCACCGACGTGGCCTTGGCCAGCATGCCCGAGCCCGCCACGTGGCTCCATGCCCTCCGCCTTCCACTCGCCTTCCTCGCCTCCCTCATCCTCCTCACCCTCGCACGCCGCTTCCTTCCCCGTCCAGCACTCGTCGTACCTATTCAGGTGCAGGAGAAGCTCGTCGCAGCCAAGACGGCCCTCCCCGCTGCTGAGACCCCCACTGCGTCTCACGGCCGCTTCTCGTGGCTGCCACGCCTCACATGGGAGACGCTCCCAGCTGCCCCGGTCCCCGTCATGGAAACGAAATCCAAAACGCCTACGACTACCACTACGACAAAACCTAATATGCCTCTACCGCTACCCAACGGCCGCGCACCCACCCGCGCAGGCCCCGTCCGTCGACCAGAGCCTGCACTCGCTCCTCACCTCCGAGTCGGTGTCGAAGCTCCTCTACCGGCGCTTTACTCGTGTCCACCTGCGTCGATGGCCAAGATGATTATGAGTCGGCATGTGCGTGTCTTTCTTTCTTTGTTCTCCCTCCTTCCCGTACTCCCGCATCTACTCCGTCCGTCTTTACCTCGGCGCCGGACCCACCCTCCCGGAGCCGACGCTGCAGCTTCTTTCACGGAACCGCTGAGCTGGTGATGACGTGGCACGGAGAATCTCTGCGGAGTCGTGCGTCATGCGATTGGGGATGCATGACCGACGGGCAGGGCCGATGACCGCTGCAGGGAAGGGACGCACCGGCCCTGCCCGTCGGTCATGGCGTGCGGCCTCCGTCGCCGTGCTCGTCGGCGGTGATCTGCTGCGCTGTGCTGGCAGCCATCAGATTCCGATTTACCTCTCCCGCTCACCCATCTTCCATCCACATCTCCATCATCTCCGTCTTCTGCATCTCCATCTCTTGATAGAAAACAGTACTGATTACCCTCCCGCAGACGTACCGCCGCCCGTCCCCACCCTCAAACCGACGCGCACCGTCAATATCCCGTTCTTCATCTTCATCACCTACTCCCCGCCCGTCGTCTTCGTCATCATGACGTGGAGTGGGGTGAATCAATGAATCGATGGGAGGTGTATGATATTCTAAACTGACGGAGTGGATTGGATGGACTGGTATTTAGTTGCCGACCTTTGTTTACACGTATTCTTATTCTATCTTGATTCTTGCTTTTCGTTGGACTGCTCGGTGAGGGTGAACGAATGAATGAATCATTGCATGGGTAAGTGTAGGTGCTCGTCTGCATCTTCTCAGAGTTGTGGGATTGCTTTGGGGCTGGCACGACGAGCCGCTCGGGGTTCGATTCCCGCCAAGTCATAAACCGCTCTGATCAATCTTAAACTTTTTGTTCGACCTCTCCTGTGCGCTGGCAGATTCAAATTCCTCCGAGGCGAATGGATTGCTTTGATTCTTCCCGCTCGTGCCTCTGCATCCATAAAAAAAGTCAGGCTTGGCTTACTTCTCCAGCTTGCAACGCTGCTGGAAAGGTCCGGGGGTTCGATTCCCCCAAGACATTGAGATTCCAATAGTGTTTGCTTTTTGTTTTGTTCTTGCCCGGACTGCTAATGATACGTATCTCGAGCTTGAAGTACCTCCTGGGATGTCGGTGTGGGAGTCTCGAACTCGAGAGGATCGGCGCAGCGGCTACTTGATTCTCAATCCTCTTTAGAGGTTTCAGGGTTGACCAAGTCATTTTGCTCGGAGCGTCAATGGTTGTGTTCTCTCCTTTTAGGGAATGGAAGCTTGCTTTCTGGATCCCAGTTTGCAGCGACGGGCGTTGCTTTGCTTCGGTAACCCGTCGGCCGGGGGATCGATTCCTGTCCAAAGCATCGATGCATCCCGTGTTGCTCACTTTGTCTCTTCATTCTGGCGATCTCTCCCTTTCGGCTTTTGCTCGTTTTTGTGTACAGTGTCACAGAGCGGCTCTTCGTCAAAGGTTCCAGTGCTCTTCGACAACAACTAAGTACCACTTTTGGGTGCAGGTGATAGTACCTTCTTCACGGTCCTCTGGCAATCGGTGTGATTTGGAGGCATCTGGCAAACAAATGGCGCGATATTGCCAACAACAAACTCGAAATCAATGTTGAGTGCATTGTTACCACTCCGATCAAATCTCGTTTTCATTGAATTCGGCTAGATAAAATTATCTTTGTCGCGCGAGCGGGCGCGTCTGTGCTCGAGAAAAGGACATAGGAAGCCTTCTGGAGTCACCTACATGGTATCTACACAGTGTCTAGAGTACGAAAAAAGGATCCAATCTAGTGGAGGAATCCACGGGATGAGCCGGTGCTCGGAGCGGCTACACACGACTCGGAGCGCTTTCACTGAGCCCGCCTGCCCGGATAGAGGCACCAAAATACCGCCGCCGTACACACGACGCAGAGACAGGGGGGTTCGTCGTCCTCTCCACGATTGATGACGAGGTGAGCTTCGGGAACGGTTCGGAGTCGTCGTGCAGCCGTGAGATGAAGGTGTGGGACTCGCAGGAATCAGGATGCCTCCCAGTTCCGGCGTCACGGTCAACGGCCAGATGGTGGTGCAGTGGTAAATTGGGTGGGGCAGTGAGAGATGGAGGAGGGCAGGAAGAAAGCGAAATACCGACTCTACCATGTCCGATTTTGACCAGGCTCCCCACCCCCGGGCCACATTCCCATCGCTCCTCCAAATCCTCTCACCTCTGGGACCTATATATGCCCTCTAATAGGAGAGGA